AAATCGATATAAGATAAATTACTAATGTCAGCTAGTACATGGAGAAATTATATTAGCGCTATCAATAAAATATAATAAGATTGGAAATGTGTTTATAGTAAAAAATAAGTAACTTGTTAGAATGTTATAATGTGGAGTTGAATACATTTAAACATTATTTATTATCCTCTTCTGATTTGACTGACTAGTGGTAATAATATCTTTCATATCTCTGGTATTTGCATTGAGTCACTTCTACTGCATATAGTGGGTGTAGACTCGATGAACCAGACAGGATTCAGTAATTAATCTCTATCTTTCGAGTTACCAATCTATATTACTCTTTCGAATTTTGACTATGTCACACCCTATTGTGTGGTTATATGTAATTGCATGCGGTGCGATTGCCAAGTTTTTCTCTAAATTTCTTATCTTCTTGGGATCAAGCATTCTAACCATAAAAAGAATGATAAATCTGGGACCCAACGTGGAATTCTCAATAAAGCAGGAATTAGGGGGTGGAATACAAACTGACAAGCTTTGTAGGTTAAAGGACCTGGTAGAACCAATTTAACAAAATAATAAAGTTTACAAAATACTTTGCAATGACTTTGAGTGAAGTTGACTTTGCAGGTCACACTAGTAGATACGGGGTAGTCAGATTGTCGGAACATAAGTATCTTATATTTAGTTTTATTTTTGATTACAGCTTGATTCCATACTGTATTTTTGGTACAAGTACGAAATTTTCAGCATGGATATCGGTAGCCCAAATTTTGCAGGCCGACCATTGATATCAGGCGTGCGTCGGCAGGGGATCGAACCCCAGACCATGTGGATGGTCGGCGAGAGTGCCACCGACGCACTATATATTATCCACCAACCGTTAAGGCCATTACAAAGTTAGAAAAATGCATGTAAAACATTTACTTAAAAGCAAATAACAGGATTTACAAGACAGTGATTAACCAATCAAGAAAGAATGAAACTGATCGACTGCCGAAGAGAAATGAAATAAACGTTATAAAGATAGATCCGTTTATAATTTTACAACACATCCGCACTCAATATCACAGGCATTGTTAAATTTGATTTTACAACAGGATTCATGAAATTGAGTAGTGGAATGGAACGATAATCGGTCATACAAATAAAGTTGGTTAAAGGACTGATTTTCAGCAAAACAAAAATCCCCTGCGACTTTCATATTCCCTGTAATGCTGAACGGTTTACGAGCATTAGGTGAAAATCCATGTGATGAAGATGCATTTTGACTATCTCTTTCTTGTCGATACTTAGAATTAAGTACAGTTATTAAGTTGGAGCAACCAGAACTGTGCATACAAAAGAAAATTATTCAACCATTTCTACTCTCTTGGTAAGAATTCCGTTGATTTGACTTAACTTTTGTTTGTTTGCTTGATTTGAACTATTTTTTGAACCACTTAAACCCTTGTGTAATTCCGTATATTATTTTGTCTCAATGTACAACCTGAGCACAACTCTTCCACCAAACTATTCACGCCATCACGTAACTCTTATTTAACAATCATTTATGACAACTCATCAATTTTGTTACTATCATCTTACATCAACATCCAATTCATCTGAACTTACTAATTGTATTTTCGTTTGACAAATTTAATGTACACACACATACAAAACAACCATATATATTTGCGACTGCAGAGCTATGAAAATGAATTCGCCGAAAAGAGACTCTTTGCTGAACTACTGGTCTTCTGTCCACATAGATTACAGCCTGAGCGACACATATTTTGAGTGGCATTCAACATTTACACCAGCTTGTCTATGAAGTGGACCTGACTCATTTTGGATCTCTGAATCTTTGTTACTCTGCAAAGTTTACAAAAATAATAATAATATCTTGCGTGCTTTACTATTCATTCTTTCTTCTCTGTTACATAGTGTCAGAGAACTACTCGCTAGCAAGGCATAGGTTTGAATACAGTTTTGATGTCACCACTTGGGATGTTGTCCATTACTGTTTGTAGTTCTCAGAGAAATGCTCATTCTTCTCTTGTTCCGCGTTGTTTGTAGCACTGTGCCTAGCACTGGATAATTGCAACCTTCCTTCTCAACGTTTGAGTTGAATCTTCCTGTCATGATCCTGCGGGATGAAATTATTTCCCACTGCATTAGATTTGTGGCTACCACTGGTGACATCATTATAGCCACTCCCTGCCACAATATGTTTGACGTTGTCGTCTGGGTGGTTAGACCAGACTGACTCTCCAGTTGACAGTGTTGATAATCCATATCTATTCCATCTACTCTCACAGATATCCAACACTTCTTTGCCGTATCTTAGCATTTTTTTGGTTAGTTGGGCAGACTTCTCAACCGGCTTTGAACATAGTCGGACATTCCGTGTCCCTATTCTCATTGTTGCTTTCATCGAGAGAAGACAAATTTGTTGACTGGCTTCCTGAAGCTGGCTTCCACCAGCCCATTTTGTCATTTAGCCTCTCCGATTCCAACGACGAATAAGACGGATATTCGTAGTTTTCGTATTTTTAATATACTTTTATGCGTTGGAGTTTGTCTAGCGGTTTGATAGATTCAGTGGTGTAGCTTTGCTACCATACGCCCTACCCATCTGGTAACAGAGAAGATATGTAGCTCAGGTGGATGATTTGCAATTAATAGTGTTTTCTGAGCTGGTTGGTTTAGTTGCGGAGGTTTCGTCGTCCACCGACTGGAAAACATCCTGAGCGCAATTTTTATCACAAAGTGAATTAATTTAAATTCTTAATGAGTGATATAATTGCATCTCCCGGTAACAATCTTAACATATGTATTGACCATCTTCTATTGACTTGCATTTTACACTTTCTAGTCACATGTCTTAATCTTTTTATTAGTTAGTATATTTCGTCTATATTAGCGTGTTTGTTAATTGCGTATTCGTTTGAATACCAGGCTTCTAGGAATTCCCTGACTACACATTAGGTGTTTCCTCTGTCTAAAATTTCGACATTATCCCAATCAAACTGATGTTCATACTTATCTATGTGCATTAATATGAAAGGATATATATCATGTCTTTTCAGAGTTTATTTGTGTTCCTGGATTCTGATTCGTAAGGAACGCCCACTTTGGCCGATGTAGTGCCTATCAGAGTTCATACAATTTATTTTGCAAATGATAATAATTTATCTCCTTTTTTCTGTTGGCATAATATTGAATTAAACGATTTGACTGGTTATTGTGCTATATCTATATCAAACGGTTTCAGTATTCTATCTGTTACTTCAGAGATATTTCACATGTATGCTAGGATGAAGTTTCTTGTGGTCTTTGATGATGGTTCCCTGTTTGTATTGTGATTCGATTTTTTGGTAGTAAGGGAATGTTCAGTTTGTGTTGTTTTGGTCTACTATAGAATCGAGGTAAAATAGGTCCGTTAGATTTCATTCGCCATTGATCTTGTTCTGTAATTTCTCCTGATTTCGTTAGTTTATTTAACGTTGTTCTAATTTTAGTTATCTAATGCTTGTATAGGGTTTTTCGTCAACTATTGATATACATTATTATCTTTGAGTAAATCCTTTGCTTTCTTTATGTAGTCTTCTGTGTCAAGGATTACCGTTGTTCTTCCTTTATCAGCCGGTAGAATAACTACATTTTTTCTATTCTTCAGTTACTTCGATAATACATTTTGCTTTTCAGTGCTAAGTTAGGAATTATGTCTTTTCTGTTTGACTATAGGTAGGATACATTGACGTATTTCTTGTTGTACTTCCTCATTTAAGTTTGATAATTTGAGTGATGATTCTGAGGAAGCACAGAAATCTGTTACTGAAGCGTCACCAGTATTGTACTTGACTCCTTTCTGACAAAGCTGTTTTCGATAACGGTTGTTTCGACAGATTTACGACGCAGTTATTTAGGGTTTCTTGAGATGGCTGTTTGAATATCTTACCTGATTTTCATTTGAGAACAACTCGCTCCTTGTGTCGTTCACTCAATATTTTAATGGCAGTATCCAATGTTGATAGATGTTGTTAGGTAAGAGTCTGTTCAACCTTTTCTTTTTTTTAAATCCAATCATATGCTGGTATTTTTTTTAATCATCTTGTACGCATCAGTGATCATTAATCTCACCATTTGTTTTCCATGTTGTTCGGCTGATTTCCAGCCTAGAGAGCAGTCAGTTGATGGTTTATATCTGACATTAGATGGTAGAATCCGCTGGCGGATACATTCGTGAAGAAGGAATAGTTGTTCTTCTGTAGAAACTTGCCTTTTAGCAAAGCCTTCCCATTTTCGACACCACAGAATTGCATCACGCTCGTAATATTTTGAAATAATAGAGATTTGTAGCTGAGGTGGATGATATACAATTAATAATGTTCTCTGAGCTGGTCGGTTTTATTCAAAAAGAAAGCTCATTATGTGACGTGATGACACTCCTAAAACCTAATGTGTAACAAACAGCAAGAACAGACTAATAATTGGGAGCTTTGTTCATCAAATCAGCTGAAAATAAATGCAATAGAAATGATGTAATACCTGCCGCGGACCTCTACTCTTCGGACGAAAAATGACAATGACAAAAAAAAAGACAACTATAAAACTCAAGTTTCGAAGTTGTGTGTATACAGTTGACGAAATGATGTACAGTAAATAATCCTGTTTCACTCATTGTTTGTAATCTAACCAGTAAGCTAACTGAAATGGAATTACATACTACAGTGGTGCTCACATTTTACACACACACACACATATACTGATTTGAATTTGTATAGGACGCCGGTACAGTTGTGAGACACGAGCACGTTTATGTTGGGCTGAATGTGTGTTTTGTTAGCAATCGGACTCCAACAAATTCACTAACGATTAATCTCTTTTCTAAACGTCATCTTATCTCTTTGAGATATTTTTTATCGAACAATATATATGCATATATATATATATATATATCAAATTTGAATGCGCGCGCACCCACGTATGTAAACGTGTTCAAGGTGAACAATTGTCACCTGATTCAACAATCATAATTATTATATATATATATATATACGTGTAAACCTACCTAATTTGACTGACTTATTATTCTGATGTGTGAGGATTACTAAAATGATTTACCTGTTGGCGATTACATTCCTCTTGTTGATACATTCCCTAGAGGCTACCCAATTAAACAGTAAGTTATATAAAATAGTTAGTTAATTTCCTCTGTTAAATATTACCAACTGATTTAACTCACTATTAATTAAAATTCGTAGGTATGCGGTAAATGACTTTGAATGCCACTTCGTTGACATCAATCTTGTGTTCTGTATCCACAAGATGAGATAGATTAGCGCTGCGAATAGATTTTGTTTGTCCTTTACTTAACCAACCACTCAGAGTGATGTTCGGAAATTTGACGTGAGACACGCCTAATTGTACGGCCTATGCGACTGACTGGCTCCACAGGAGCAGTTAAATTGGTAGATATACATGGAGGAAGCAAAATTAGGCAAACGCACAAGAGGAGTGGTTTTGAAGATGCAGTGTAATTCAGCAGCGAGGAATGCTTTTTACCACATTTCTCAGCCGGTGTGTTAGTATCTCGCTGATGTTGTCCCCGAGGAACTGCACTTGTAAGAATAAGGCCTTTTTAGGGACGGTTGGCACCTTGGGCTGCTTTGATTTTAGGTTCATATTCTTATCAACAAGCTTTTTTAGATAACAATTTTCACTTAGCAACCGTTTAATATTATTAAGTTCCTCATCCAGACATTCATCCGGGAATGCTGCTCTTGCTGTGTGAACCAAGCACTTTATCAGATTGAGTTTATATTTCAAGGGTTAGAAGCTGAGAAAATGAGTATACTGACCCATTCATATAACCCTTCTACATACACTTATTCGTATGATAGAGAAGATATGTAGCTCAGGTGGATGATTTTGATATGGTTTTGTTCACTGAGCTGGATGGTTAGTTTGCGAAGCTTTCATCACCCTACTAGGTGACATCTTCAGCGCATACTTCAATTTGAAGCTTCGCAAACTAACCATCCAGCTCGGAGAACAAAACCACATCAAAAACACTTCTTCGTATTGTGCTATTCTCTTTTCTGGTCATAAGGACGTCTAGAAATGAAATACTAGAGTCTTTTTGTCTCTCAATAGTGAAATTTATTGCAGGATGAACTTTGTTAAATTTATCCAGGATGTTCTTAGCTTCCCCTCACATTTTTATAATCAAAAATATATCAACCATGTGTATTTACCAATTTAACCGCTCCTGTGGAGCCAGTTAGTTGCATAGGCCGTACAGTTAGGCGTGTTTCTCGTCGAATTTCCGAACATCACTCTGAGTGGTTGGTTAAGTAAAGGACAAAAAAAATCTATTCGCAGCGCTACTCCATCTCATCTTGTGGATACAGTACACAAGATTGACGTTAACCATGCTTTCAGGGTCATTTATCACATGCGTACGAATCTCAGTTTGGGCTTAACAGTTCGGCTACTAAATATTGCTGAGGCTGGCTGTTGGGATTCACATTAAGAAGCCCAATTTATGCATTCAAAAGAAGTTAGTTCAGTCATTAGAAATTAGTTAAAGTAATCCCAGCGCGTTTGAGAAAATCAAAGCAATATAAGTATAAAACTTTGGCCCTGTGGTAGAGTATAACTTCATTACCGAAAAGATTTCATTTTGATAAATCACACACTACTATACAGTAATATTAGCTGATGACATTTCGAGCACAAACTATTGCTCATGAAGCGCATTCTTGATATGATTATGAGCAATAGTTTGTGCTCGAAACGTCATCAGTTAATATTACTGTATAACACTGTGATTTATCAAAATAAGATCTTATTCGTAATGAAAAAACCAAAACAGGATCTGTTTTATGAACGTTTCGCTGTGTGAGCCACAACTTCTTAATCAGATTTATTCGGAGTTTTATTAATCATCTAAATATTTTTTTCCTTCACGTTCCCCGGGGGAACATAGGGCCACTGTAGCAGTGTTTATTTTACAGGATGGGGTTGTTAGTCTCATGTCCGACCTTTCCCCTTTACCAGCATTATTTCTAACTTAGCGAGGTAAAGAAGTGCGTTGGCCGGGTATCGAATCCCGGAGCATGTGCATGATCAGCGGGCGCCCTAACCGCTAAGCCACTGACGCACTCATCTAAATATACAGTCAGAAATATTTTTACATAAATTTCAGTCGGTGGCTTACACAGGGAAACGTTCAGAAACAAAATCTTGTTTTGATTTTCTTAAACACGCTGGGATTAATTTAGATAATTTATAATCAATCAGTCTGAATCGGCGTTCAAAATATTCCAGGAATTTCGTAACACTTAAGGTCTGGAAACGGATAATTGATTTAACTGTTTAGTTACACATGAGCTGACATCGATTAGAAAAATGTTGGAACACCAGGTGAGAGTACTAAGCTCAACTGTTTTCCAGCCTAGTAGGGACACTTCAGCAGCACACACCCAAAATGGTTACAAGGTGAGCTTGTAGACCATGATGAAACCCTATAACGAATCAGCCAACCCCCCAGCAAACCAATACTTGAAAGTAATTTAATTGTTGTCGACTGATCTTCTGTAATATCAAGTTACCATTGAGTTCCTCCTTTATATCATACTATTTCAGTCACTAAAATTGAACTACCCAGACTAAATTTACCTTAGTAAGTTCCAAATGTATTGACTTTTTGTGAAGGTTATTTTGGATGTTCGTTTGTATCACAGGGAGCAAAAGAAATAAAATTATACAGAATTAAGAATATTTATATTTGTGTAATATGCAAGATTATTTTGAGTGAAAACAAGTGTAATGAGAAGCACCATAGAAACATGTTTGCAATATTGTTCTGTTACAAAAAACGTGTGTTTGGAGAGGGGATAGACAAAACTGAAAGGAAACAAAACTGCAGAAGGTTGCATCCCTGATAGATGTAGTGGTTAAACTAGGACAGACAATGTCTTGTTTTCTGATGTGTAAAGCGAGACTTCCTGCGGTCAGAAGCTCACAGATTTTGTTCGATTTCTAGCTGATTTGTAAAATGACTCTAAACGATGATTCAGTGCAGATGTTATCATCAGTTATAGCACTTCTTTTAGACTTGTGCCTCCTCTTTGCAACCATGTTGACTGGTTTTCTCTAACGCGTTTTGAGGAGATAAGCATGTTACACCCTGTATGTTCAGGCATACAGGAAGACACTGGAACAGCTAAATACGGGACTCGACCTCCTCAGATTACTTAAATGTATGTAATGGCTACAGCACATTACTGTTACCGTTGTTAACACGTAAGTCCTTTCAAAAGAAGCTAATCTGTCCCCCTTATAGGATATCTGCTGCTTAGCTATCTCAGAAACTTCTGTTCATATGACATATTTTCCCTGACACTGAACTTTATTCTTCTATGGTGTTCTGCACAAACAAAGCTGAGAATCTCGTGTTTGCCAAGGTCTTTCTGAGAAGGAATAGTTCTTCTTCTAAACAAAACGTGTTGCAGATTCTTCTAATGCTGTGTGACAGTGAACTGATGAGAGCTATTCTAAAAGTCTTGGGTAACTAGGTATGCAAATAAATCAGTTAGATATGCAGCGAATGTTCCCTCTAAAAACATCTGTTCAAAGAATTGTCACCACTTCTTGTCAATTTTATGTGGATAAGTGGAATTAATCGCTGATTTTTTCCTTTTGATTTAAGTTCAGCTGTACGATCGCAGTCATTATATTCGTGTAAAACGTAAATCAGAGTCATGATGAAAAATCCCAAACATGTCATCGACATGCACTTTACACTGCAGCAATTTCTTCATTAACATTTCTAAGAGTCTGTTTTGTAGATCAGGCAAGAATCAGTCTACCAAAAGCATACCAAGAGGAGACTTTATCTCCAACGACAACATCTCCCGTTCAAGCCATAAATTCAAAGTGCCTTGAAGTGATCACCTTAATAACTGCGAACTGAGCGGCGGTGGGATCGGAAAATACCCAGAATGTTTGAAGGCATGAACTAGCTTTAGGCACTTTCGGCAAACTGCACAGTTAGAGGATTATTGATCCTGTCCATCTAAGGTGCTCAGAAAGTAGCTAATTTATCAGGAGGTTTTTCTTCTGCCCTCTTAAAACATTTTTTCAATTGGTTCACTTTTGTTTTCATAATATTCGACCTGAAAACTTAGCTGTCCTCTGAGACTGCATCTAACATCTTATCAGCCAAGTTAAACTTCAAGCACCAGTAAATACCAGTGGAGTGCGACCGCACCAATGACCTTGAAACGCTCACTGAGCAAAGTTAGTGAAACCTGGCAAATAATCATGTCATCATCAATAAAATATGCTCATCAAAGTGTTATGTTCTTAAATTATCTGGCAAGTTTTAGCTCAGGTTTGAGAAAGATTAAGTTAGGCTATAAGCCATGGACAAGTTAAGGTTAGGTTAACCTAATAAAAGGCGATATCAGAGTTGGTTCGAGTTACATTACAGTTAGTTTTGGGATATTTTCACGTTTGGGCTAGGTTTAGGAAAGATAAGGGTTATTGTTAGATTTGGAAAACTTAAAAATGTGAAAAAATACTGTAGAAATTTTTGATAACATCTCAGTGTTATACAGTAATATTAACTGATAACGACGTTTTGAGCACGATTTATTACTCAGTAAATATTACTGTATAACACTGTGAGACATTATCAAAATAAATTTTACCCACAATGGAATTACACTCTGTTGATACTACAACCTAAAACTAAGGGCTATTTTTATCATAACATGTGAGAAGAAGGTATCCTCTGTAACACCTTGCTATAGACTTTATGAATTTTTTGATAAATATATGTGTAATCCAAATCCACAAAAATGCCTGCTTCACGTGCGTTGGTGCGTTAGAGGTCATTTGCTGATTGGTAGTTAGTGGTGCTTAAAGTTAAACTTTGCCCTCTTATCGAAATACATATCTCTGTTCATGACAAGGAAATCATCAACATTTTTCCAGACGTGTGATTATTAAATCCTTTATTAGCTCATAGTTCTTTCAGCTGAGCAGCCATACCAACTTCATGGATCGTGCGAATATTCCACGCCGTCTTCTAAGACTACTTTGATCTATTCAGGATAAAATTCTTATTAAACTGCCACCAATTCATCTCACTAGGAGAGATCAAGTGAACTGTTACGTACGCCTGTCAGAGAATACGCGAGAGCAGGAGACTACCACACTTCATGAAGAAATAAATCGTATGTCTCCACACAGCGTTATTCTTTATAATTAATATTACAACACATGTAAGTAAATAATCTCTCTGAGAACAGTCTCTCTGTGGAAACTTTCTGATCTTACTTCTGAGTCTAGACAGGTATATAATGAAGTTCAATGGATAGCACAAATACCTTCCTGAGTGATTACGAAAACTATAACCAATTCCATTATATCCCTCCGTTTTTACATTCAGTTTTGAAGTTAATGCAATTGTTGGGTGAGTCACATATTTTGTTTTCTTCACAAGATCCTGAATGGAATAGAGGCTCGTTAACTTGTTTTCCAGGATATTTGAAGTATCAATACATTCTCAGCTATCATTATACCTTAAGATTATATCAAAAATAATAAAAAAGGTCGAACTGATAAGAGCCCTGAATGTTAACCATAATTCATGATATTTTAGCTCAGTTTACAATATACTGAGCTGACCTTTTATCATTATTGTTATTAATATCACTTTTAAGGTATTGGCTAAGCTTAGCTCTGTAAGTCAAAAAAAATGTTACGTTTCATTTTAAAACAACTAGTCCTTTAGATAAATTTGAGAAAGGCATTTATCAGACAAATTTCGCGAGATGACATCATTTCGTAGTTTCTTTACCGCCGCTTAACACCTAACATGGTTAACAGTAATAGAATAAAGTTCATGACAATTACTCAGTCATATCAAACAAAAGTACATATTAATGACTAGTCACATATTTATATAGATCAAGTAGTCCATGGTAGGCGATATTAACTGAAGTCGGTTGGTTTTGGTACACAAAGTTTAGGATGTATGTGATTAATCATCAAAAGAGCTTCCAACACCTTCAATAACCAACCATCAATTAGAGTTCTGTGATGAGATAATTGTGAGGCAGTCATTAATATTGACTTTGTGAACTGATGTGAACAAGTGCTTTGCAGTGGATGATGATGCTGGATTTTTATTCAGATTATTTGCATTTGGATTTTCCATGTGTGCTAATAGCCATTTTGGAACATGTTCTTTTCGACGATATTGAAACATTATATTGGTTCTACCTATATAAGTGGCAGCACAACAACTGCAGGTGAACGTATACATACAGTTTGAATTGGGGTCCACAGAATTTCATTCTTTAATCGTAGGTACAGGGATCGTAAATGTTCGGCACGTTAGTGAAAGAGATTTTGGCGTAGAATGTGCGTTTGGTGAGCTATCAATTGCATAATCTGGTCACCTTTGAATGGTAGGTTAGTAAAGATAGCTTTCTTTGGTAGAAGAGCTGTCTTTTCTAGCTGCGGTCTATCCTTGCTTTGACAACTGATAAGTTTTTCTGGATAGACATTAGTTAATAAAACTGAATGTATATGTCAAAGCTGTTTTACATTTCATTTTCCGTGCAAATAATAACCGGGAGTTCAGTTGTTACATTTTTGTTGCAAAGCAACATTAATTAGAAATTACTGAAAACCAGAGAGCACTAGACAACCAGATATTCTGTCTTATTTCGAAACATTTCGGCGGTATGTACACGCAAACCCACTAGCGGATTGAACACGGGACCCTGAAATTACAAGATCACGCTCGTTGATCATCCTGTAACTTAAGTCGAAACACGGTGAAACGTGAATTGTAACTTTGTCAACTCGTTACATATCGCAACCTTCGGCCATGCCTACGATGACCAGACAGGTCCAACATGTCAAGATGAAGTGCATGCCCATCAAGGCATTGCTGAGAATAGAGCTAAATAACGAATTTAGAAACTTTTAATTCAGGGCTCGCTGAAAGTGTTTGAATGGTCAAAGAGGCATCAGGTACAATTCCTGGTTAGTTAAGTCATGGGTTCTCTCCCTTGGAGAGTCCAAAACTAGGACAAAACAATTGGCTGTCCATTGCTGCCTAGTTTCCAGTTATCTCATCAAATGATGTTGGGTCATGACGAAAACCCTAGAAGTGATCTTCATCACTGGGATCTTATGTTGCATGGAGCGGACTTGTGGTTACACTTACTGTGTGAGAAGAGTGAGACTCAAATCCAAGATCACTTGGTTGAAAGTTGTGTTTTTAGGCATCTGAGTCACAAATAAGACGATTTTAGGGATTTAAGCATCGCACACTCCACTGATTCAAGTGCTCGCACAGTTGTCCAGTAGCGTATCTAACATTGTTTCTTTTATGTATAGGAAAGTACTGAATTTGGGATGGTAAGTTTGAAAATAAGAAGTATAAAAACTCTAATAATGTTGGAAATTTACTATAGTGTGAACATTCTCCGTCTAGGTCATTCTCTAACTATTTCTTTGTGTCAAAAGCATTTTATCCAGACCTAATTTAAAGCACACTCTTCTCATGCAGTGAAGATAATCACACTGAAATATTTTAGTCAGTCAACTTGAACAATTAGCATGGTCTTAAATCTTTTCATCATTTCTCATGAAAAGTGATCTCAAATCTAAATTCTATAAAAAATTCACAGTGGTTGGCTCGAATACTTTCCCTTGTCTCATCCTTCATAATTCTCCTAATGAGTTTAGGGTCTTTTCAGCCACTGTAGATACTCTCCTCTCAGCACACTTTCTTAGTCAAGCGTTGTTGAACCATATTTCTGAGAGAGACTTATCGCTACTCTCCCTAAATTCTTTTACAATAACCACAATGCTGCAAAATATAAATCACTGGCTTAAGTAATCACACACCCATGAAAATACCTCTCTTTTACCCGACTTCATGCTGTTTTAATTATCCAATCATATTATTGGATAGTAACCTATATTCACGCCTATTCCACAAACTACAACCGCCATGAGTTATTCTGAGAAAATTAAGAAACACCAGTGCAGATTGTCAAACCGTGTTCAGGACAGCAGCGATACTATTTCAAAAGGTACATTGATGAATATCTTCCTATTTGAATGTTCTACATAGAAAGAGGGCGTTCTAAAGATTATGCACAACAAGTGTGAACGCATTTCTTCAGTGCAAAGCTGCTGTCGCTACTATTATTACTAATATTATTATAAAATTAAATGAAACTTCTTGACATCTTTATTACTCTACATCTAGTGTAATCGGTAAAATTTGGTAAGTTATTACTACTCTTGTTAATACGAAATCTTCGAATTCAGTGTTAGGGAAATACGGCACACGTGAAGGAAATTTAAGTTGGCTGAACGACTGACTTGTAAAATTAATTAATTATTGCGTGGAAATAAGAATAATTAAAGAAAGAAGACGCTTTGAATTTCAGTTACTTCATGGTGTGAAAGTCCTCTATCGACGATCGAATGAATGACTTTCAGATGTGAAGGAGACTTTCATACCCTTGATCAATACTGTCGATATATATTCACTCCAGCGGAGATTACTAATTAGCTCTACAAATCAGTTTTCCTATAGCCATTAATTAGAAAAAGAGTATTGGGTATTGATTGTTTTCCCAGTATACGTGAGTGAAAACGTTAATGAGAGAATTACTGAAATCCAAGAAGCCGTGGACAGCATTTTCTTAATAGTTTTGGGAATTTTCAGTAGTTTTCAAGCATAAATTCACCAGAGACCAAATTTGTTTATACATTACAAGTTTCCGTGTTTACCACTTGTCATAAGGAAAACGGATGATGATTATGGCTAAACTTGAAGGAAGAGTTTCTGTTGAGTATATTTTGAAGAATTATTGGCGATAATATTCTATAGAGCAACCTATTACTGACGGAATGCTCAAATAAAAACATATAAAAGCAAGATAGGAGAATTTTTAGTCGAAATAGAATTAAAATCGTAAACATTTCTAATCTGAACAGAAATTGCAATCAGCGGTTAAATTAATGCAGCATAACAGCCGCATAAATCCCACAACTGAATGGTCCGATATAATCTCTAGGTGTTACTTCGAACTGTATCCGTTGACTGACGAGAAGTGGTTGAACCACTGACTTCTCAAACTACAATGCTGGAAGTTTTTGAGTACTGCATCAGCCATTCCTAGTTAAGTGATGAATTCATGAATAAGCTGAATATCTTGAGAAGTCAAGGTCACTAGAAATGAACATTATGCAGTCTGTATTCAACCATTTGAACTAGTAAAGCCTGAGAAATCTTTGGCCTTGTGTCTACATAAGTCTGTCAATACTGAAACCATTCGATAAAACATTTCAAGAATGATAAAGAATACCTCATATGAGAAGCAATTTAGATCAAAGCGGAATTCAAATTCAGACGGATTGAGACAGAAAATCTATGGAGTCAGAAAGCCTATGATTAAGGCACTGTGTATAATGTGAGATCTTCTATATTTCTGGATAAATCACAGCTGATTAATACACTAATGGCTTGGTTAGATATAGAGATGAATTGTTCACTGTCTGCTGACTTCCTTATTTCTTTCTTATTGCTTCAATTAACTGTTTTGTTGAAAGGCTTGAAACAGGATTCACACTGAAATTAATGGAATCTTTCAAAGTTAACTCTTGAAACTTTTTCCAGTAACTTACGGAAGGATGAAACAGTCTCCAGTTTCAATGCGAAGTCATCATCAGTGGGCGTCACTCGATGAGATACTCACCTATAAAACTTTCTGATTACGGCATCATTTCGTATATGAATAGGAGTAAGAATTGATGCACAAATGAATTTCGTCGAAGCGGCTGAATGGTGTGCGATTTGTCCAGGAACCAGAATCTTCAGGATAACCTGGAGATGCTGGGGGCCATCCTCACTGTAGTCGTAGGTGTGTAGAGATGAAGCGTCTTAAGTCAGTTCGTCACTAAGATTGTAAATTAAAAATTCCACTATCCTAGAAATCGTCGAAGGGGAGGCTTAACGAAAATTCTCCTCTGCGCCATTGACATGTTATTTATATTACTTATTCTACATAGTATTTGTGTTGAATGGGTCTAATGTTTACTTCATTTTCTTTCTAATTTCTCAGGGACCTCACCAGTGGAAACATGTTTGTGGGAATTAAATAACAGTAATAAGAGGCGCAGTTATCTCATTAATTATATAATCCATGTACTGGATAGAATGAGAGAATGTTGAAAAATGCTGAATTATCTTCAATAAACTGATACACTTTGTTCTTATATTACACAGTGAAACAGACGCTTTATATAGATTTTTCTATAATTTTTTTCGTGAAAACATACTTCGAAGTGTAAATTTTCTTTAAAAAACTTACTTCCGCAAAACCACTTACCAGAAAATTCAAATGTAATCTGAATTTTTTGTAACTTTATTTCGACCTTTTTGATCTATTTAATTTTATAGAAATACCCAAGACGTTAATCTATACGCCTGTGACAAATTGGTATACTAGAATAAGGTACTAGATTATACATAAAATACAATAATAATACAAACCTCAGACTTTAAGATGTCCATGGCTGGTTGCTGTCAGATGCACAAATACTGTGAGCTTATAAGAAATGCAACAAAGCGATGTCAAAGGTGATCCACACGTAGATTACACAGAGCGCGATTGCCTTACATGGAATAAAGGGATTTGAATAAACGACGTCCCACAGAGTAGGGTGCATGCATAAAGCACAAACAGCCCATAATGTATAACAATATGGAAAGAATTACTGTACATCAAATAGAGAATTAAATACATTGGGTGTGTCAAACTTCAATAACAAAGGAAAGGCATGCACATGAAGTAACAAATATAACTCATACTACGTACCAGTGGTCATTAGTATAAGGTGTGACACAAAAGAAAAGGTGACAAATGACAGATTGGATAGGAATCAGCTACACGTACGTGTTTAAATATATATATTATATATATATATATATATATATATTCACTTTAGAAATATGATAGGGTATCACTATGCAACAGCGTTCTTATCAGATTCTCCCTTTCATCTTCGAAACAAACATGGAAACATATCCACCTCATTCTACGACGATCAATAACTGACATCGGCTGAAGAAAAATTGGTAAACCTGCAAAAAGTATTTGTATTCACCGCCCGACATGATGCACTTTACTGATTACGACTTCCCAATAGTGAGCATCTCATTGATATTCAAGTACTGGTTTGTAGTGATTTGATTGTATATAAACAGGATTTCATCATGAGCTGACATCGGTGACAGAACCATTGAAAGACCAGCTGGGAGTACTGGATAGCTGTTTTGCAGCTAACTGTTGAAGTTTTCCAAACCAGGATGAAACAGCTGTCCAGTGCTCCCTCCTGGTTTTTCAATGGTTCTCTAAATGATATCAGTTCATGACAAAATCCTGTTACTAATCAATCAAATCCCTACAAACCAATACTTAAATTCCTTTTTAACTGTGTGCGTATGAGAATGTGAAAGCGGGTACATTGTCCGTCCCCGTAGATTTCCTTTTAACCTCTCTGTTATTGATGGTTGCGAGATTTTACTAAGAAAAACACCCAAAACGCAGACGCTGCCGTGATATTCCACTTCACAAGTGAATTTCATTTCTGGATGAATATTAGTGAAGTCTTGAATTAGATCTCCCTTACCAAAATTCTTATAAAACGATAAAAGCAACGTTGGCATAACTGAAATAGTAATATTCATGTTGATTCAACATGCATCTCATTTGATCATTTCCATGTTTAGCCCGGAAAATGTCCGCTGCTTGTTGCACAGATTGAATATTCGTTTTAGATTTTAACAACTGACCAGTCAATTCCTTTGGTGTAAATGAAGTATTTGCTTTTATCCTCAGATTCACTCACAGAAATCATTATTATAATATGGTTTCCTTTAATTCCTAAAGTAACATAGGGCTTCAGCCAAACGTCTCGATTGCCTTCGGTTCTCCGCCAACATTTTCGCCTGATTCCACGTCTGCCCACATGCTTTCATCTCCTCTTCACATCATCTCCTCCATATCACCCTCACACTGATGACCGACTCGACACTTCATGTTTGGCTCCACTCGAGTGATGGCCTGTCGTGTGATGTCACTTGATGGTTTGTTTCTTCAGAGCATAACCAATCCAGCTTCATTTCCTCCTGCATATTTGTTGCACATTTGGTTCCTGATGGGTTAGTTCGTTCATTGCCAGAGATCCCTGTTGCTGATCTTTTCTGACTGGCCGTCTGATCTTGAGTAGTATTGAGTGAAGAAAGCTGTTGATGAAAGTCTGTAGCTTGATTGAATCGGCGTTCGTGACGTGGTGCCAAGTCTCTGATGCGTATAGTATCATTGACGGACTTCACATTGGAGTTGAAAATTCGGATTTCCTTTTGCCTGGATGTTGACCCCAACACAGACTTGAGAGAAATGAAAGCTTGCCTTACTCTCCGGTCCCTTGCTTTGATATCCTCATTGGATCCATCCCCTTGTTGTTGTAACTATGATTCCCAGGGGAGAGAAGAAGGGTGATTCTCTCATATTTCTTCCATGTATGCTGATTGTTACCTCTTGTTGCTGTTGGCTAGGAATCTTCATCACCTCTGTTTCCTCCATGTTCACCTGGAGTTCTATCATTGAGACTTTCTTTGACAACTTGATTCTTTTCACTTGAACATGTTCCAGTTTGTGAGAAATTGGACATATATCATTGGCGAAATCTAGACCCATCAAGTTATTTGTGTGGGTCCATTTTATGACTTTTTTTGCTAGTTGCCTGCTTTCTGTTTTATTATTCAGTCTAAGGCCATGAGGAAAATCATTGAAGATAGTAGACAGCCTTCTCTAACTCCAGTCTTCCCTTCACAGGATTCCGTGCGTTCCCCGTTGGGTATTACTTGACATGCAGTACTATCACTTAACTGTCGGATGAGTTGTATAATTCCTTGTGGCTCACATATATAGTCCAGTGTTTCAGCAATGAGGACATTAGTAAACAAAGGCGCAGCATAGCTTCATTTATATGGTCCTTTGGAGAAAATTGATTGGTTGCAGGATTCCATCACGAGCTCGCATCAGTTAGAGAGAACCACTGGAAAATCTGTGAATGCTTAAAAGGTATTTTATCCTAGTTCGTGACCCTTCACTGCATGCACTCACGAGGTTTGAACCTAGGGACTTTCATTTAGAAGGCGGGATGGTACATCATAAACTACGGTAAACTCACAGCTGCCCAGTTGTTCCAGATTTTCCAATAGTTCTGTAACCGAAGTCAGCTGATGATGAAATCCTGTATTCTCATCTTTATTACATAATAACAAATTTAAAAACAGTTTTTGAAAAAGTTCCAGTAAATTTACAACCAAGCGATAGGATGAATTTTACAAGTCAGGAATAGGACTTAAACCATAAGAACTAATGGTCGAATTTTCAGGGCTTTTATAACATCAAGGCTAGAACTCTGAACTCGATTTTCCTTTTCATAGAGACTCCAACACCCTAACCAGTTGGCATTCTGTTGGATCATCCATATCTGCACTACTACCCCAGATTTTGTTGCTTGCAGCGGTCAACAAGTAAAACGATCATTGTTGATATTATTCTCAAATCTATTCATAATAACAGACTATCTATCATATGGCTCTTGTTTTTGAATGAGTTGACGATGTTCCTTCGGTGACGTAATAATTATTTGGAACATCTCTCTTCCTAATTCAACCACAATATTGGTGCTTATTTCGACACTTCAGCTAACTTTCCGGATTATCCGTTTTTCTCCAGGACTGTATGTCATTCTTCTCACATTTGCATATAGCATGCTAGTTTGATTCACATTATTTGTCTTCGTGCTTGTTTGATCTCCAATTGTAATACCTAACTTCGTCGTTGTGCAAAACACTGATAATGCTCTGCTTTTCGGTGTGATTTTATTTTGGTAAACCAAGGTCATTCTTACCTTGTCAGGAGCTTAAGTGTGGAACTCTTGTGGAAAGAGATTTTGATCTCAACTTGCTTGGAATATTCTACCTGATGCCAAGGTACTTGTTACAAATGAATCATGATGAAATAATTTTTTCCGCAGTACGTATTTTTGGTACTTAGAAAGTTATCTTGTCTGTAGACCTGCCTAACGCCAATCTTGTGTTAATCTCGTGTTCAATGGAACTATATGGACTTTATTGCGTAAGCCATCATTTTGCAACTGTGACTGTCTCAAGAAAGTCTTGTGAGCTATGCACGGGCAATCAGAGATCGGTTTCCTGCGATCACACTAGAATGAGTCGGTTTTGGCTGTAACACTTCCTTGAGCAAATCCTTCATATCATACATGGTATTACTATACATGAAACAGCTGTCAACAACAGTAATTTTATATCTAACTAAATGGCATAAAAATAAAGTGTCAAATCTTAAGTTTGCGTCAAAATGTGTGGGAGGTATCCACCAAAAAAAACGTGGAGAATTTGCTGTCATCATCTTGTCTAAGGCGGTACTGGAAAAGTTGAAAACACACGGGTCAGGATCATTAGGAAGTCATTTTTTCGTTTGGATCCCCTTTTTTCATTATTTTGGTTATAGAATTTCCATGAATTGCACACATCAGTAGATGCACCGGATGTCTAGGAAGTTCATCGGTAATTTAACTTATGAAATATTTCTTTCCTATGAAGTAATCGCCGCCTGAGAAAAGGGGCCCCTAAAACAAACGCTTCGGAAATTTTTTTTTATATGTTAAGATAAATTCCGTCTAACTCAGAGTGAACCGCTCAAGAGAGTTCATGTTCAGTAGACCTTAGTCATATAAATTATTGTTTAGGATAATGGCTGTTGGAAAGCACTTTTCTGCTGTCAATCATAAGACCATTTGTATATGCACAACATCGAAAATTGATTTTTTTTATGGTTCTCAGTCATGAAAGGATATAAAACATCTCTAGTCATTTCATACAAAGAATGAACCTCTGAAATCCTAGGTCAATTTCTTAACAAGGCTAAGTGGAATTCTAGCGAAATATGTAGGTTTAACGATCCTGTAGAGCCCATTTTACGATACAGTTCAGTTTATCTAATGTCTGACACTGATTATGAGGTCACCTTAACATAGACCACTTAGTTAGTGGAACAATAAAAAGAAACAAAATTAAGATTAGTCGTTGTCAATGAGACCAGATGACACTCTTGAACCCTAATATAGCCGACTGAAAAATAAGACTGATAACGTGAAGTGTATTTGTCAAGTCGAAGGAAAGTATGTCCGGAAGAAGAAATGATTTAACACCTCATTCAGACATCTAGAAAATTCAACCATGCCTACAACAATTGGGAATGAAGAAAAACTACTATAAAAATCGAGTTTTCGAAGTCGTGTATTTACAACGGACGATATGACATGCAGTAAATAATCCCAATTTCACTCATTGTGTGTGTAATATACTTAATCAACAAATTAATAAGTAATAACATGCTAAAGTAGGTCTCACGTTTTACACAAACACTGTGAATTTCAGTTTGTACACGCTGCCTTCACTGTCATAATTTACGACCACTCTAATTATACAGATTGCCAAATATTTTGGCTGATTTCTTTCTAAGTAAACTAGAAAATGAACTTCTGAACAACAGTATCAGAAAGCTCTCATTTTATTGCCGGTATATCGATGACAGGTTCATTCCTTCTGATAATGATTCAGATAGAAGTACAATGATAATTGAGTTCGATGGGAAAATAAAATTTTTTAGTTTAAGGGAATCAACGAGGAATAAAAATAAATGGATGACAAAGGGAAAAAAATAAAATATGGGTAAAAAAAAAAGTTGAAAAAATTTAGGTAAAAAAAAAAAAATGGAAAGAAGGTAAAAATAAAAAAGATTAAAGGGGTAAAATCTTGCGAGGGGTTGGACGTATTTCTTTTGTATACAAAGCGTGGGTTTGAGCTTTTGTATAGCTAGCGCCTCGGCTATGCCCAGATGTCTTGATTTTACTCCCTTTGAAGGGTTTGATCGAATCTTGTAAATGATTTTGAAGGATCTTTCGAGTGGCGCTGAATGTCCTGAATTGACCAGATGTTCTGTCACCGAACTATTTACCCGTTTTCGTTCTCCTTTTACTAGCCAGGCTGGATAGTGTTCACGAGCGCGTTTTTCAAGTCGGCGCATGGTATGGCCAACGTACTCAGCTCCACAAGAGCAAGTAAACTGGTATATGCACGTTGAGGTGGCCCAATGCGACAGCTTGAGTTCAACAAAGAACAGCCGATTATGAAGTTCACATGCGAAGAGGAATCCCAAAACACAATCGCTTTCGTGGATGTCTTACTTACAAGAAAACCAGATGGAAGCATAAATAGAAATTTGCATAGAAAGAGCACTTGGATGGGACAACATTCACAGTTTCGCAGCTTCGTTCCTCTCAAGTACAAACAAAACTTATTAGAGCCCCTCAGGTACATAATTTGGAACTATACGCTCAGAAGAAGTAACTCAAGATGAATTAGGCAATGTATATGATACCTTGATTGAAAATAGCTATTACGACAAATTTATCAAGAAAAACATGACAAAGAAAGCGGAAAAGGACTACTCACCATGCGTTAACAACAAGCCGTAATGCATACGACTGTTATTCAAGGTCGATTTACCAAGCGAAATAATTACAGGGAAATTAAGAAAATTGGTGCAAATAACTTTAAATACTGACAAATTACACGTCTTTTTATCTACACGACCGATGGTGTTTGTTCGGTTGAAAGAAAAATTACCTAGACTAGATTACTCATTTCCGAATGTATCTACTAATTCAAATGCACTTGTGGAGCGCGTTGCATAAGCCGTTGCTCTAGGGACTTGATTTTTCGTTCACAAGAATATTTCCCAGTATGACTAAGTAAAGGTGTAGTGAAAACCATTTACAGTTCGATAATGAACCATCTGGTCCAAAACGGCGATAAAGCCAGCATTCAAGAATCCTTCTCTATCATCTAACGGGTACCAAATAAACCTCCAAAAACATCGAGATACCACATACTCCAAACAGCATACGCTATCGTGATTCGCGTACAAACAACCAGTGCTATGTGTGAGGAAGAAGCAAGTCCAGCCAGTCACTACTACTGCCCCGGCTGGCCTTCGGTAGAGACTATAAATTCATGAATTCGTATTATTATCCCTCCTAATTTTTCTGACATTCAGTTCATTGTTACAGTGATGCTTTCGAACTGTAATCCAGTGATATTATTGGTTGATTTGATGGTATTTAAACAACATTAATGCTGTTAATAGCACTAATTCATTCACTATTTTGTATATATAATTGTAGAACCTGATGATGAAGGGAGTATGGAAGAGAGTATTCTTTGTGCAGTGATATTTTTAATCAGTTTAAATATTAACCAACACTAAATTTCTTTTCGAAACGTCATCTCATCTCTTTGAGATATTATTTAGCCAACAATATCTAAGCATATATATATAAATGTATTCGAATGCGTGCGCATACACATATGCATATATGTTCATGGTGAAAAGCTGTCACCTGATTCTAACAGTCAAATAAAATTTTCATATATATATATATATATATATATATATATATAAACTTATTCTCAGTTGACTGATGCACCATTTTAATGCGTATTGATTGATAAAATGATTTACCTGTTGGCAATTACATTCCTCTGGTTGATACATTCGCTAGAAGCTACTCCTTTAAATGGTAAGTCAAATACGTAGAAGAGAGTTACTCAATTCCAATTATTATTATTTGTCATTCTGAACTAGTTTGATTATTTTTGATTTATCTTGTGTATTATCAAATTACCCTTCTATTCATTATTTTTTCTTCCTTTATCTCTATTTTAGTGACCACCATTACACTGCCCACTTTAACGTTACCTTAGTAAGTCACGACTTATCGAGTTCTTGTAAAATTTAATTTGAATACGTGTATATTATATATGTCCAAACCAAGTTGAATTTTAACAGCTTGAAAAAATTTGGGCATTGAGTATATGATATTCATTGCTATGGGTTCACCAATCTCCCCAATAATCGCCGACCTTTCCATGAATAGATTCGAAAATAACATCTTTTCAAGCATACTCACTCCTAAAATATGGTTAAGATATTTGGATGATACTTTTGTAGTGCTAAAATGAGATCTACACAATGCATTCCTGGAGAAAATAAACTGTGTATCTCCAAGAATCTAGTTCACCTCAGAAGCAGAATCAGACGTCGGTGAACTACCATTTCTAGACTGCCTGGCTACTTAAGAGAAAGGAAAACGGACATTTTAGTATATCCATATTCAGGAAGAAAACCCGCTCCAATAAATATTTAGACTTCAAATCATCACACCTCATCAGTCCTCATTCCATATAGAGCAGAGACGTCGGTTGATATCAGAAGAGTACTTGGTCAGCTCCACATTAGAGTTTTCTTCAAAACATCAGACACAGTGCAAAGCAACCTTGTCCATATGAAAGACCAAATCCCTAAAGATTCTCTGTCTAATTGTGTCTATAAAATAAAATGATTGGAGTGTGATGCGATCTACACCGGACAAGCATCTCGAAAAATCAAAGTCAAAAGAAATGAACACCGTAGAGCATCTGTTCAACTACGGAGAAATCCAATTGAACTAGAAAAACCTGAAAAATCATCAGGCATAGCTCGTCTACACGCTATAGAATCACGCCACAAAATTGATTTTGACAATATTGAAATCACCATCCAGAAAAACTTCAGAAATCAAAAATAACGTCTGATATCATGAGAAGCACTTCATATCAAGTGGAATCCAAATTGCCTGAATAGGAATGATGACGGAATAAAACAGAATTTCACCTGGTTACAACACCTCCCTACCAAATGTGGTGACAAAATGAACACGAATGTGATAAGCAAGTTCACTATGTAAACACACGCTGCTTTTGTGATTTTACACACTGATCAAATCAAACAATCTACACACGATGGTTTTGTTATCTTTACTAAATGACCAACTTGACAACGAAAAATGACCCCAAACTAACGAACGATGATGATGTTTTTCATTCATTGGTAAATACAAAATACCTTTATTATAATGTGCATATTATGCCCTAGGGATGAATGCATACAGATCACTTTTGTAAATGACTGTCGTCATCAGTTGTAGCCCATTTGACTTAATTGGAACTTGTAGTTCTCAATTATGTTGGATAGAGTTTCCCAAACTCTTTTGTAGTAAGGGTATGCACAAAGCGACCAATATATACCCACCAAAGGGATGAAAAAGAGCCCGAACTTACTATTATTAATATTATCACTATTATTGTTCCCTGGACTTTGGAGTGGAAAATTGGATTTCATTCTCTACGGCCCTGTTCATCTGACTGCACGATTATGCATGGTCTCCCATCTCCACCTCAAACGATCTCCTTCATCGCTCTCCCGGACTTTCTACTCATTATTTCTCAGTTCAGTTCCACTACTTAGAAACAATTACACTGATGTGTCTGAATGAAGTGATAACGTTATCTACACTGTCGGACAGAACCCCTCCTGGGGTATTGGTAGTAGGTAGCTAGAAACCCTCTTCTCAAGGGTTTCCGTTTCTAAGTCTCTGATGACGTCTAGGTTCAGGTAAACTAGTTTCTTTGACACTTAACTGCATTATTTTCATATGTTCTTCACAAACCGTTAGTATTCTTACAATCAAGTTATTGTTATCACCATATATGTACATAAACAGACTCTCTGTGCAGTCATCACATTCACTAGTCAGTTACACTCAAATCTCTTGTGCATTAAATAAATTCAAAAGTATCTCAAATTGTAGGGAAATATCATTATGCCATTTCCTTGAGGATTTCATCGATAACACAAAGTTGAAAATGTACTTAACTATCGAATGTTGTATGTCCAATTTATCGGTATATATAAGATAAAATCCTCACTGGACTACCTAATCACATCACACTAGTCATGATCAAATGAATTCTTCATTATACCTGTCATAGAATACTGCATTTGAATAAAGCGAGAACAACAGTGCGGTGTGGTTCGTGCAGAATAAGAAGATGGTACCATCATTGTTTATTTCGTTGGCTTCTCATCAGCTCAACTGCTTACAGCCTAAATAAATTATGAGGTTTATGTACAGAAAAGTTTTAACATACTTGCAAGTTTTACATGTTGTCAGTCGATAGAAGGTTCCACAATAAGTGAAAAGTGCTCAAAAAATTTCCCTTACATAGTTCGTTCCCTTGAGACGTAGGCCATTCAGCATATATTCATAAAATCTTATAGTAGCGCTATCACTAGACATCTCCTATACACGGGTCATGAGGAAGAAATCGACAAATCCTTTAAAATTATCCATAGACAAAGGAGTTTCATTCTCCTCAGGTTTGCCGAGGCAATTTCTATCAAAGGCTTAAAGCCAGATTTATGTGTTCGGAAAGAAGCAGTTATTAGTCTTTCCTTGCCCTGATAACTGAATATCTTTATTCTCTCTTTCATTTGATTACGTAATCTTTGTCTTTAACCTCAACCACTTTTATAATCTGTAATTTAGCTTGTCTCGTGTTTCTATGATTTGAGTTGAACTCAGTGCATTGTTACCTAATTTATTAGTCACTCTGCATTTTAAGCATATTTCGCCTTTATTAATATTACTATTGCTCCCTTGGGTTCCTGGTGGAACATAGGGCTTCAACTGCATGTATCCACCTGCTTCTGTCTTCCTTCTGCTGTTTTTTTCACCTGCATCCACGTTAGTCCATACTCTTTCAACTCCTCTTCACACGATCTCCTTCATGTCACCCTTGCACTGGCGTCCCATTCGCCACTTCCCTTTCGGGTTCAACTCGAGCAATGGCCTGACGTGCGATGTAAAACGGCGACCTCCTCCTCAGCGAGTGTCCAATCCATCTCCACTTTCTCCGGCATATTTGTTAGGCGATTGTTTATTTTTTGTTTGTTCCCATAGTTTCTTGTTGGTGGTGATTCTTTCCGGCCCCGCCATCTCATTGATCTTCAGTATAGAACCAACGAAGATAGTTGTTGTTGATGAAGGTCTGCAACAGTCTGTTGGACATATTCTTTGTGACCCGCTCGTTAAGTTTCTGATCCGTATAGAATAATTGAATGACTTGACTTGTTTGTATTGAAAATTCGACCGAATTTTGTTGTTGATGCTGGCTGAGTGACGAAGATTTCCAGATTGGTTTCAGGTTGATGAATGTGTTTCTCACTCGATTTGACATCTTCGTCCGTTTCGGCTGCCTGTAGCTGAGACAATGCTTCCTAGATAAGTAAGTGAATGAAGTGACCTCTTTCAAATCCCTCCCGTTGATGATGATTGGCACTGGATGTTGCTGCTGTTGTTGTTGGTTCGTTATTTTCAAAATCTCCGTCTTGTCCATGTTCACCTGAAGTCCTGTCTTCGCCGGCTGCTTCTCCGACCAGTTGGTCAGTTTTCGCTTGTAAGTCTTCGATTTTGTGTGACATCAAACATAATTCATTCACGCGCGATATCCAGGTCTTCTAGGTTCTTCATGTAGGTCCAGGATATTCCTGTCTTCTCGTTTCCCATTCACTGTCTGACGCATAATCCAGTCAGTCCACCACAATTAGGAATATCATTCTGGGTGATAATAAGCACCGTTGTCTGACTCCTGTGTTTACCCCAAACGCCTCGCTGAGTTTTTCGTTGTGGATCACTTGACATGTGCCATTGTCGTACAGCTGTTGAATAAGGTTGATGAATCTTTGGGGTACGCCGTAGTACTCGAGTAGTTTCCAAATTACTTCGCGGTCAACGCTGTCTGTCTAAGGCCTTTCCGAAGTCTATAAAGTTGAGGTAGAGTTTAAGTTGCCATTTAATGCTTTTTCCTGTGATGATGAGGCGTAGAGTTGAGATTCGGCCAGAACATGATTTGCCTTTCCTGAATCCACCTTGTTCTGGTCGGCGTTCTGTATCCAGTTCGTCGTTTATTGTCTTCAGGATAATGCGATTTTACATGGAGTCGACAGGAGCATGATTCCTCGCCAGTTCTCGCAGAGTCCTAAGTCTCCCTTCTTTGGTAGTTTCGCCTTTATCACATAACGTATTTACCATTGTATGCATAAACTTATTTTGTTTAAACTTGAACTGCCTGTGTAAAAACTATATAAGCGCTATTTTCTAAACACTGTTCACTTATTGTGGAACATTTTGTCAACTGACAACATGTAAAATTTGTAAGTATGTTAAGACTTTTCTGTACGTAAACCACATAATTTATTTAGGCTGTAAGCAGTTGAGCTGATGAGAAGCCAACGAAATAAACAATGATGATACCATCTTCGTATTCTGTACGAACCACACTGCTGTTCTTGCTTTATTCAAATTCATCAACGGGAATCAATGCACGAAGAATACTACCACAACTTCTTATGAAAGCAACTGAATACACGCAGACAAAATCATTCTTTAGAATTTCAACGGTACACGTGAGTGATTGAATCAATTGAAAACAGTCTCTTTGCTGAACTCTCTTTATTTTTGTTCTCATGTTTGGATGAGTACACTTTATACACTGTAAGAAAATCAACAAATCAATGAATTCAGTGCATAACACAACTAGTTTCATGATTGACAACCATCTCGACTGTATACCTTTTTTCCATACATTTTTGTAGTTTTAATCTGTCTCCACCCGTTGCGTGAGTCAAAGTTTTCGTTCGACTTTTTAAAATTTTTTTTAATTTATTTATTTTTTTGATTTACAGCTGATTCCACACTGTATTTTTGGTACAAGTATGGAATTTTCAGCATGGATATCGGTAGCCCAAATTTTGCAGGCCGACCATAGATATCAGGTGTGCGCCGGCGTGGGCTCGAACCCCGGACCATGTGCATGGTCGGCGAGAGTCCTAACCACTGTGCCACCGAGACAGAAAAATGATTAATAATGCCTAGTGAAATCTTAGAAAGAATTGTTACCCTTTGCGTAAACGTCATCATCAGGTTCTACAGTTATATATACATAAGATTGAATGAATTATTATCATTAACAACATTAATGTTGTTTAAATAATATTGAATTAATAATAATAGTAATATTAATGGATTAAATTTCAATGGCATAAACATAACAACAAAAGTGAATGTCAGAAAAATTATGAAAGATAATACAAATTGGTGAGTTTATAGTCTATACCGAAGGCCGGCCGTGGCAGGAGTAGTGGCTAGCTGGACTAGCTCTTCTTCACACACAGCACTGGTTCTTTCATGCGAATCACTATAGAGTATGCTGTTAAAAGCCCGTGGTACCTCGATGTTTTTGACAAATTATTTGGTGCCCAGTGGATGACAGAGAAGGATTTTTTAACGCTGGCTTTGTGGCAGCTTTAGACCAGATGGTTTAATATCGATCTGTTGAATGTTTTACTATAAATTTACTTAGCCATACTGGGAGATGTTCTTGGACACAAAAAATCAAGTTCCTAGAACAACGACCGATATAACTGGCTCGACAGGCGGAGCAGTTGAATAGGTAGATAGAATTAGAAGTGGCTAGTGTAGTTACTTCATCTTTCAGCTGAGGAATCACCATCGGTCATGTCGATAATAAGACGTGTAATTCGCCAGTATTTTAAGTTCTTTGAACTGATTTGCTAAATTTCTTCGTAATTATTTCACTTGGTATAACGCCCTTGAATAACAGTCGTATGCATAAAGGCTTCTTGTTTAAGGATAGTGAGTGGTCCTTCACTGTTTTCTGTCAGTTATTTCTTGATAAATTTGTCGTAATAGCTATTTTCAATCAAGGTATCATGTACAATGCTTAATTCATCTTCAGTTAATTCTTCTGAACATATAACTCTAACTTTGTGATTGATGGTCTTTTCTAAGTTTCTGCTATGCTTGAGAGGAACGAAGCTGTGGAAATATATACATTGTCCTGTCCATTTGCTTTTCTGTGTAAATTTCGTGTTATGCTAATATCTGGTTTTTTGTAAAGAAGACATCCAGAAATGCGATCCTGCTTTTGGATTCCTCTCCTCATATGAACTTTATAATCGAATGTACTACATTGAATTCAGTTATTATTGTACTCCTATCCGATTGGATACCACAAAGAATGAAGGTGTCATCCACATACCGGCAATAGAATGAGAGCTTTCTGATAATGTTTTTCAGGAGTCCATTTTCTAGTTTACTGAGAAAGAAATCAGCTAAAATAGGAACCGATAGGCGATCGCCGCCACCCCGTACACTGGCCTGTAAAGTGTGGCGTCAAATTTGAAATTTGCATTCATGGTACCACCTAATAACATTTATTTTACAATTTCAGTGTGGATGTCAATATTTATCGACTTGTTTACATATGTAGTCAACTGTTTCTACTAGAGGTACATTAGTGAATAAGGAGGTTATATCCAGAGATATCATAGTTTTGTCCTTGATATTATTATATCTGATTTTGTCTACGAATTCAAGTACATCTTTCATGATAAATATTTCACTGTCTTCTCATGCAAAACTTCGAGAATATTTACTGACACACTAGCTAGAGCATGGTAGGGCAAATTCTGCGGAACCCCCGGTTTAGGCACTTTAGGTAGACCAAACAATCTTGGTGTGTACCTGCTCGCTGGCCTGATTTCTTCGTATAAACTTTCAGAAAATATCTGCTCCTCCCCAAATTTCTTCAAATAACGTCTGGTTAATTCATTTTCAGTTTTGTTATTGATGAATCTATCGAAAATAGAAGTCTTTGTTCAATAACCATTCTTCTGAACTAGAGACCAATTAACCTATGTTGTTTCAGGATATGTTGCATATCAACATATTGGCTACTTTCATTATTTCATAAGATGAGAAAGACAAATTGATAAGAGCTTTAGATATCGTAATTCATGATGTTTCACCTCTGTATAAAGTGAATTAATGTCACCTTGTATTATTTTCATTACAATTAATATTACTACTATTATTTCTGCTATTATCATTATTAATAAAATACAGAGGATTGTTAGGCTTCGCCCTGTAAGTGAAAATCATGCTGCGTTATATTTTATTTTTTGTACAAATAATAGGCACAACTCCAGTTGTTAGATTTACGTTATGAAGTAAGATCAGTTACAGATCACCAAACAATCAAATGGATGCTCATCCAGGGCACTGTTGAGAACAGTGACATATAAAGAATTTAGAAATTCAGAGTCTACAGCTAACTGAAATTCAGCCCATTTTGGATGAATGATCAATGAGCTTCCTTCAGTAGCCTGAAGACGCTAGGTTCAATTCATGGTGAATTGGTTGATGAATTCGTACTTATGGGAAGTCTCAAACTGACTGTTCAGTGCTCCCTGATTTTCAGTCATTTCTCCAAGTGATGTGGATTCATGACTGAAATTTTAGCATTGATCTAAAACACCAGGAGATTATGTTGCATGGAACGGACTTGTAGTCACACTTACCGTGTGAGAATAGGTTGTACTACTACATGTGTAGAGTGGGACTCAAACCCATGATCACTTGGTTGAAAGTTGTGTTACTAAGCATATGAGTCACTGATAAGACGACTTTAAGAATTTAAGCGTCACACACTCTACTGATTCAAGTACTCATAGAATTATCCACACATGTAGTTGTATTTGTGAATCTAACATTATTCTTCCTATGGATAGGAAAGTATTGAATTTGGGATGGTAAGTTTGAAAATTAAAAGAATAAAATTCCGATAATATTGATAATATACTTTACTGTGTACTCTCTTAATCTAAGATATTCTCTAATTATTTTTATGTTTCCAAAGCTCTTTATCCAGACCCAACTTCAAGCATACCCTCGTCATAAAATAAAGGCAAACACACTGGAATATTTGAGTCAATGAACATGAACAATTAGCATGGTCTTAAGGTTTTTCACCATTTCTCATGTAAGGTGATCTCAAATCTAAATTCTATGAAAAATCCACAATGGCTTGTTTGAACATTTTCCCTTGTCTCATGCTTCACAATTCTTTCAATGCATTTGAGGTCTTTTTAGCCAGTGTCGATGCTCTCCTCTAAGCATACTTTATTAGTCAAGCGTTGTGGAACCATATCTGTGAGACAGACTTATCGATAATCTCACCAAATTCTTCCACAATAACCACAGTGCCGCACAATTCAAATCACTGGCTTAAGTAATCCCACACCCACACCTCTAGTCACGCCTATTTGACAACCTACAACCACCATGAGTTATTCTAAGAAAATAAAGAAACACCAGTACGGGTTATCAAAGCGTGTTTAGGACAGCAGTACTACTGTTTCGTGAGGTTCATTGATAAAATATCTTCCTATTTGAATGTTCTCCATACGAAGAGGACATTCTTAGGATTATGCACAACTAGTGTGAACGCATTTCTTCACAAAAACACTACTATCGTTACTATTATTACTAATATTATTATAAAATTAAATGCAACTTCTTGACATCTTTATTACTCTAAATCTAGTGTAATCGGAAAAATATGGTAAGTTATCACTACTCTTGCTAATATGAAATTTTCTGATTCAGTGTTAGAGAAATACAGCACACACGAATGAAAGTTAAGTTGACTGAGTGACTTGTAAAATTAATTGATTACAAAGCAAGTTTTCGCCTCTGTGACAATTGGTGATCTTTAGCTGAAAATGTTCAGTACTAGCGATGTGCATTCATTTCATACCTAGCATGATGGAACGCAACCGGCAATGATTACTCATATGATCCTTAAGTTAGGCTTTCTCCAAGGGGAGATGGTTACTGTAACTAGGAGTTTCGATTGTCTTCCCTTTAGTCTTCAGCTTTGACGTCAGTGAAAGAATTCGTGAAGACCAAGCAGCTGTGGTCAGCACATTCTTTTTAGTTTTGGGATTCTCCAGCAGTTTGAAAGCATGAATTCACCAGGTACCAATGTCTACCACAGATCACAGGTTTCTGTATTCACCTATCGTCATAGCGAAGACGAATACTGATCACTTGAATCCCTGAAGGGAGACTTTGTGTTAATTATAGTTTGAAAACTATGAAAAGGCTTTTCCACCATGTGAAGTAATAGGAATAGAATATTAAAATGAAGGAGGTAAAAGTGAAAAGAGATGGAAGCAAGTTCTGAGAATGTTCTTTAGAAATAAGTTTCAATTTACCAACGCTGTTAATCCTAATGAAAATTGTAATAAATATCTACCTTTCTGAAGAATAAAGAATAGCACGAAGTAAACTCCACAACCGAATGGTTCGATATAATCTCCAAGTGTTACTTCAAACACTATTCCATAATTCACGTGAACTGGCTAAACCACTAACTTCTCAAAGGACATGGACGAAATCTATGGATACTTTAACAACACTTCATAGTTAAGTGACAAAAATAAAAATGTTGAACTTCTTCATAAATCAAGTTCCAAAGAAACAGGCATTATGAAATCTCTATAAAATCACTGCAAACCCAATGGGAAGAGTAAAGCTTGAGAAATATTTAGCCTTAGGTCAAACGATTCTGACAATGTTGACATAATTCAATAAAAATTTTAAGAATGATAAAGAAACCTCATATCAAGAGCAATTCAGATCAAAGACAAATTCAAAATATATGAATCCGAATAATGGGTTATGAGCGAATTTCAGCCGAATTATAGCCTACCTGCCGCTTTCCCTTCCCATGGATTAACAAAATCAAGACAAGTGTGGTCAGAATTTTCGATCAAGTAAACACATGCTGTGATTTTGTAATTCATCCATTTATCAAATCCAGTAATTTGCACATTCATCCCATTAATGACATAGAATTACTCCATGGAGAAAAACTATGATTAAGGTACAAGTTGATATCTTCTTGGTTTACTGTCTGTTGACATCTTCTTTCATGACTGAGTGCTTCACTTAACTGTTTTGTTGAATAGATAAAAGAGAATTCACACTACAATGAAAGAAATCTTTGCCAGCCAGCTCTCGAAAATCTTCCCAGTGGCTTACTGAATGATGAAATAGTTCCATGTTCCTTTGAGTAGTAATGATCAATGAGCACCACTAAATGAGATACTCATCTATGACATTATCTGTTTGCGTCATTATTTCGAACATCAATGGGAGTTAGAACTGATGCAAAAATGGATTACGTCTAATTGGCTGAATGCTATACAATTTCTCCAGGAATCAGAATCTTCAGGATAACCTGAAAATGCTGGACGCGATCCTTACTGCCATCGTAGATGCCTACATCTGAAGAGTCCTGAACAAAGATTTACAGCGCTTCCCTTACTGAACTCAGCAGTTTGTAACAGAAATTGAAATTTTAGAGAGTCTACCATCCTGGAAATCCTCAAATGTGAGAAGGAGAGGTGACAAAAATTCTGATCTTTACCACTGACACGTTGTTCACATTACTGGTTCTACATGGTATTTGTGCTGAATGAGTCTAACGTTTACTTTAATTTGTTTCTACTTTCTCAGGGACCTAACTAGTGGAAATATGTTTGTGGGAATTAAATAACAGCGATAAGAGGCGTAGTTATCTCGTTAATTATATCATCCAAATGCTGAACAGAATGAGAGAATGTTGAAAGACGCTGAATCATCTTCAGTAAACTGGTACACTTTGTTCTTGTGCTATACAGTGAAACAGATGACTTGAAATTCATTTTTCTATAACTTTGTTTTTGCGAAATCATAATTTGTACTGTTAATTTTCATTAAAAAGTGACCTTCACAAAAATATTTACCAGAAAATGTCAATATAATCTGAGTTTCTTCTTGTGACATTATTTCGACCTTTTTTGTCCTATTGCATTTTTATAGAAATACTAAAGACAGTGATCTTTACACCTATGACAAATTTGTATACTTGTAAATTCATTCAACAGGATGGTTTGTCAAATATTTTTCAGCTATCTGAAGCTTTCCTTTATTCGCCACATGAATCTTAGTCCCTCTAGGTAATATCATATGAGTTAACATATAAGTGTATGATTCTGACATTGTGGTGGGATGTAACTCTATTTTACCTTGTTAATTTATTTTATATATCACACAGTGATCTAGGTGTAACAGAACTTTCAGGATGTCTGTATCAGGTGTTAAACCACTTCAATTTTAAGTATTTTCATTTTTTTTAATATAAATCAATATATATGTATCAGTAGGACAGGCTCCTTTAGATTATTGGAGCACGAAATCTTTGCAAAATTAGATCAGACTATTTGATCCTAATGTAGTGAGAAACCCGGAACATAGCTCGATTACAAGACTAAATTCAGTTACGTGTGACTATCAAGCAAGACAAGATAAGATGATAGTCTTCAAATCTAGTAAAATCGGGTGAAAGGAGAGATTGACAACGCAAGTAATTTATATACATATATATATGTATATATCAGATCAAATAGGAGTAAGTGTAGTATGAATGATTGAACACCCCTGTCACCTTGACATCTGACAAATTCTGGTAGTGTCCCCCACCCATAGCAAATGGGAAGAAATGCTTTACAGTTATATATATATATATATATATATATATATATATATATATATATATATACATTATATTGAATGAATGGATAAGTGTTATGATCAACATCAATGTTTAAATAACATCGAGTCAATAATAATGTCAGATTACAGCTAAATAGCATCAACATAAAATAAGCTGAATGTCAGAAAAATTAGGAAAGATAATATTACAAATTCGTAAATTGATAGTCTCTACTGTAGGCCAAGGCAGTAGTAGGGGCTGGATTTGCTTCTTTTAAACAGAGAGCACTGGTTGTTTGAGGAGTATCTCAATAGCTTCTGCTGTTTAGAACATGCGGTGCTTCTATGATTTTGGCAATTTATTAGGCACCAAGTAGATTATAGAGATGGATTCTTCCACGCTGGCTTTGTGGCTGGTTTGCACCAGATGGTCTAGTATCGAACTGTAATCGGTTTTCACTATATCTTTACTTAGTCATACTCGGAGATGTTCTCGAGCACGAAAATTCAAGTTCCCAGAGCAATGATCAATATTACTAGCTCCACAAGCGCAGTTGAATTGATAGATACAATTAGAAGTGGCTAGTCTAGGTACTTCATCTTTCAGTCGAGGGATAACCATCGGTCGTGTAGAGAATAAGACGTGTAGTTCGCCAGCATTTAAAGTTCTTTGAACTGATTTTCTTAATTTCTTCGTAACTATCTCGCTTGTTAAATCGCCCATGAATTGAAGTCGTATATAAAGAGGCTTCTTTTTTACAGATAGTGAGTGCTTCTTTTCCTTTTTCTTTGCCATATGTTTCTTGATAAATTTTTCGAGATAGCTATTTTCGTTACCACTTAACCTAGGAGTTGACAAATTCGTTTCAGCACCTGTATCAGACATCAGACATCACTTTGTTGTCGTAGTCTATTTAGGGACTCTGAGTCAAATAAAATAAGCATTTTGATCAAGCCGCCTTTAAATTTCCCTAATCTATGTCAGTAGGCTTTCATTGAATTGAATTATTTTTAGCCATTTCAACTCCATGTGAAACTCCAATTCATAAAATACAAGTTGATAGAGAAACTAGTTTCCACACATGGAATCCTGACAGGCTTTTGAACTGTCTAACGAATAGATATCTTGTTAAGAAACCTTTGAAAATACTACTTCAGCTTTATTTGGGTGTTACACAAGGTATTCTTCGGTGATTTTGTTTTTAACTGTCAGAAAGCCGAGATATTCGCATACCTTTAAAAATCAGTTATGGTTAAAGCCATTTCTCTTCATCTTTTGACATATATTTTCGTTAAATCAAATTATGTAACAAGGTAAACGTCAGCCCCTTCATTGACATTTAATGGAGGCAAGTGTCATGCTCCTTCTGAAACAAAAGCTAATCCCTTTGACTGTTGATGCATTGAATCATATGAAAATTACAGTTGTATCATAGGAAAACGCACTTTATGATTGTCTCTCTAAGAGATAACTCCCCGTCGTCCCAATAAGATGTCTGGGTCCTGATAAGGACCCGCTCATTCCAGTTTGTACATTTCAGAAACACTGTAAGAACTGCAACGTGATTAAGTACTATGATATATTTAATGAGAAAAATAACCTAGTCAAAATCTAATTTTTGAGTATCTGGAGACAGCTATTTTGATGCAATTGTGTTCTCTGAGCTGGCTAACTAATTTGCGAAGCTTTCATTGCCCTACTAAGCGACATATTCAGCGCATAATTTCATTTGTTGAAGTGAACTTTTAGATTTCTGCACGAGTTTATTAATCATCTCTCCTGGCGGGTGACCTTGGACGTGATTGGTTGTTTTTGTGTGTTTTCACACCTTCTAGGCAGCTACTTGTATTGGAACTGATTGTTTCTTTGACTTGAACTTTGACCCTTTGTGTGTGAGGTTTCTTTCTTATCGGTTGATACATTTTGTCCATCTCGATGTGTCTACTGACTGATGATTCACTGGAATACCAGGCGGGCTTCTAAAAATTCTCTCGCATTCTTGTTGTTTCCTCTGTCTAATATTTGAACGTTGGTTGTCCCAGTCGATTTGATGTCCGGGGTTGTCGGTATGCAGTGATATGAGGGAGTGGATATCATGTCTTTTGTAGGCTAGCTTATGATCGTGGATACGAAGAGTAAGAGGAGGGGCGTCCACTTTGGCCAATGTAGTGTTTTTCGCAGTTGTTACAATTTATTTTGTAGATGATGTTGGTTTTATCTTTGTTCGCTGTTGAGTCTTTTGGTTGACATAGAATTGAGTGAAACTGAGACAGACAATTTGGAAGAAATTAAGAAAATGAATTCAAAAACCTTTTAATGCTAGCGAACTACACGTCTTATTCTGTATGCGACGGATGGTGATTCCTCGGTTGAAAGATGAAATACCTAGACTAGCCACTTCTAATTGCTTCTGAAGACAGTCTGAAATATCCTAAATAATATTAGGGTGGCTACTGATAAACGGTTCCTCTTAGATAATTAAAAACATTAGATTGGTTGATGGACTATTTCCATTAAATTTGACCACTTGAGTACATCACACGAGTAAAGAACTTGCTTCTAATATCTGAAAATGTTAGTAATAGTACTAGTCGGTTTTAGGATACGCGTAGCTATTAGCATTTAACCAAATATATATATATTCGAAATATTCTCAAATATATAGAGAACTATTGATAACCAAGAATAGTTAGTCCTCTATTTCCTGCTAATTTGTCTTAATCTGGAGATTGAACCACAGGATATTCAGGGTACGGGGTGAGCCTAATTAGTCAGCACCTTGAGAATTCTAACTTCTTCTGATTCACGATAATGTAAAATCATCATCATCAGGCAGTGTCATTTAAAGGTACCTGTCCACAAACCCAGATGAGGATGTCTCATTAAAACTCCATGAATACCCATCGCTTAGTCATTCACAAGTGAGCTTTATATTAATTTTCAAGTGAAGCATGCGTTTGGAGCATTGTCTCAACTACAGGCAGTCGGAACGGATGAGGATGTCAAATCGAGCGAGAATCGGGAAGCCGAGCGAGAAACACATTAATCAATCTGAAACCAATCTGGAAATCTTCGTCACTCAGCAATGACAACAAAATTCAGTCAGATTTTCAACACAAACAAGTCAAATCATTCAGTTATTCTATACGGATCAAAAACTTGGCGAGCGGGTCACAAAGAATATGTCCAACAGACTGTTGCAGACCTTCATCAACAACAACTGTCTTCGCTGGATCTATACTGAAGATCAATGAGATGTCCGGGCCGGAAAGAATCACCAACAACAAGAAACTATGGGAAGAAACAAAACAAGAACCACTCGCTCGCCCAACAAATATGCAGGAGAAAGTGGAGATGGATTGGACACTCACTCGCTGAGGATGCCCTTGGGTGACATCGCGCTCACGTCAGACTATCGCTCGAGTGGAACTCGAAAGAGTATGGACTAACATGGATGCAGGTGAAAAGTACAGCAGAAGACATAAGTGGCAAGTGGAGACGTGCCGTTGAAGCCCTATGCTCCACTTGGAACCCAGGGGAACAATAATAATATTAATATACTTTGGATGGTCCGTATTGCAATATGAAGTAATAAGCTGTTTTATAATATAAATTTCGGCAAAAGAATAACAAGAGAACATAATTGATGTGTTTAGTCTCTGTGATTTGCTTCCCTTATTGTTGAATAAAAGTTGACTGCGTCATAAAAACGAAAAAAAAGAGTAAAAGAATAAAAATGTTCAGCAAAGAGTTACTCTTTTCGGCGATATCATTCTCAAGCTGTACAAATCGCAAATTTATAGTAATTTGTTTTGGCAACAAAAGGAATATTTCCAAAGATGTGTTAATGCAATTGTTAGTTTTTGACAAACAGATTACGTAATTTTGAAGGCGTTAATCGGTTAGAAACTAAAAAAAAGTTACAAAAGTAGGTTGGGTGACGTAATCTAATTGGTAGGGTTCAATGAAAAAATGAATGAGAGTCAAGTTAATAATTTGAGTAGAATTCACTTGAAAATGAATGAGAGTTAAGTTAATAAGCTGAGTAGAATTCACTTAAAAATAAACGAAAATCGAGTTAGCAACAGTCGTCATGAGCGTAGAGATTTAATAGAGGGTGGGGGTAGAAAATAATGCAATTAAGAAATAGACAAACAAAGAAGAAAGAGGTAAGACAAAATTACGTATTTGGTGTTAAGATAGATCAGGACCATTGTAGATTTAGTGACTGAACAAACTTCTTTTGTATGCAGAGTTCAGGATTCAATATGTGAATTGCCATTGCTTCTGCAGTTTGAAGAAGTTTAATTCGTACTCTTTTGGCAAGATTTCCACGTATTGTGTAGATAACTGAGAAGTTGTTTTGTGGGTTTGCTTGGTGTCCGGATTCGATCAAGTGTTCTAGGATGAGGTGTGGCGGGGGGGTCTTCTTTCTTCTTTATTAAAACAAGAAGGTAAGTGTTCGCTGATTCGTTTGGATAGCAAACGCTGGGTACGGCCGACATACCTAGCTCCACCTGAGCAGGTGGATTGGTAGATGGACATTGATGAGGGCCCCAGTGGAAGCTTATCCTTCACGTTCGTGCGAATCATTGGTTTCGTAGA